TCGTTGTCCGAAGAACAACCTGCTGACCAAACCAACGAACAATCCGCTGCTAAAAGAATTGAAAACGCGACCTTTTCTTTCAATCCTGTGGCATCTACCGGTTTCAGCAAAAAATTCTGTGTAAAAATATCAAACATTTATTTTCTTTCTTTTATAACAGAATAATCAATTATAATTAATATAAAATTTATGATTCTCGTTCTAGCTTTTTCCGTAAACAGGGATTGTTTAAGGACTTAAATCCATTGTTTGGTTTCTTCTTATTATGATTCCTTGCAAGTTGACGCCGATCATTTTTGTCAGCAACCCATCTTCTCAAACAGAATCGCAAACTTTTTTGACATTTAATGACACTGTAATAGTCTGCTGTCTCTTCTTCTGAACAAGTAGGAAGAAGATCGACTCAGAACTCTTCAACTTCTTTTTGTAGTAGTTTTAGCACAATTATTATTTCCCCAACTTTAAATAACTGGTGCCATATTTATCCCATTTACTGTTAACCTATCCATACACTATGATGCAAAACTGTCACATTTGCATGCAGATCTAATGCACAAATGTGATCGTCTATGCCCCAAAACTGATGGCGCTGTCAGGTTTAAGCATGGCACGATAAGATCTGGATGAGCTTGATTTTGCACGACCCGTCGTGTGCAAGCTTGTACGTGTGGAGACAATTCATGCCATTCTTCTCATTGTCAGTTTTAAATTGATGTTTGCAAGCGTATTATTCAAATTTAACTACTTACTAAAGAGTCATAAAAACTACAGAGATGATGACTACAGATCTTAGATAGTTTAGAACTTCCGTACAATGTGGAGTTTTTTTATGTCGAGTTTTACCTTATTTTAAAGGCAATGAAAAAAGAAACACAACCCCATAAACCAAACCCCGATATCTTAATTCTTTCAAGAATTATGAGGGGTTGACTACCAAATGGGAAAATAAAATGTTTTCATGTTTTTTTGCACGTTTATTACGTTCATAAATAGAATTTGAAGTGATTTCTTCAAGTATGCGATTTTCCAAATCATTTATTGATTATGGTTTTGTTGCATAAACTCTACTTTTCAGAAACCCCCAAAAGAAAAAATCGACTGGTGTTAGATCAGGAGATCATGGTGGTCACTCAATTTCGCCTCTTATACCAATCCAACGGTTTGGAAACGTGGGGCCTAAAAAGTCTCGGACTGCGCGACTAAAATGTGGAGGAACACTTATGTTGGAACTACTTATTGTTAATACTATTAGGGTATACGGCACGTACATTTGGAACTACTTGATTTTCTAACAGTTGCAGATATCTGTCTCCGTCCAAATTTCCATTAATAAAAAATGGACCATTTACATTCTCTCCCATAATATCAGCCCATACATTAATATTCTGCGGTCTCTGAGTATGATCTTCTCTTATTAAACGTGGATTTTCGAATAACGACAATTGTGCCTATTAACTTTATCATTCAAGTAGAAAGTAGCCTCATCAGAGAAAACAATATTCAAAAGAACATTTCTATCAACATCACATTTTTCACAGAATTCCAACCTTCTTTCGAAGTCACCTTCATTCAATTCCTGAACTACGTGAAACTTATAGGGGAAAAAGTTATTTCTTTTCAAAATTCTGTGATCTGAACTTTTACCAATTTCATGTAGCTGAGAGCCTTTTAATAAGAAACATGAAGGTTCTTCAATAAAAGACAGTAACATTTTTTTGGTTTATTCTTCAGTTGTTGCAGATTTCGGTCTACTAGTTCTCGGAAGATTTTTCATAGTTCCCTCTTCTTAAAATCTTCGAACAGTTCTTTCGACTCTTCATTTAGAAATCGGTGGTCGTTGATGAAAAACATCATTGAAGACGTGCCGCACTTCATCGTAGGATCTTGTTCTATCAACAAAGCCACGAATCATTAAAAGAGTGATTTTTGTTTTTTGATCAGTTTTTGCGCAATTTTTGGAGTTAATAAAAGTAAAATTTACAAAACAAGTTTGTTGAAAACAGTCAAAAGAAAACCTCATACTTCTTAAAAGAATTAAGATATCGGGTTTTGGTTTATGGGGTTGTGTTTCTTTTTTCATTACCTTTAAAGTAAGATAAGACTCGTCAGGGGTTACTATTTAAAAATGTAGGGGTGGTCATCCGCTAAAAAAACTCCACATTGCATGGAAGTTCTAAACTATCTAAGAATGTAGTTTTTATTACTCTTTAGTGACGCCAAATTTTCAAATTTTTCTCTTCACTCGTTCAAAACTTATAGCTCCGTTCCGGGAGTTTTGGGAAGTCCTGTATACCAAACAAGTACTTGTCTTTGAAAAGACAGCTGCTAGTGGAAGTTTTTAAGCAAATATCAAATATCAGGCATTCTACATTTTTCAGACATTCTCGGACATTTTTGCATCCATGCGCAAATAATTCCTATACTCATCGATATCTAACCATAATTCGTTCAGCAAATTCGCGTGAGATTACCGTTTCCGTTTTTTCAGACAACTTTTTACCCATTTTGATCTCTTCCTTTCTTTCTTCTTCTTCACTACTATTGCGGTAGTAGTAGCAATTAAATAATATAAATCATGTTGCCGTATTACATTCATTATATAAAATGAGGTAAAAATTAAAAGAGCTCTTTCTCAGTTTTCTAATAAATATACTTAGTACCGGTTTCGATAATTACTTATCATCATCAGCTAAATCTACAAGCGAAATTATAATAAAGGCATATAGAAATAAATAAAATAAGTGAACTTACAGTCAAATAAAAATAAAAGTCACAATATAAAATGATTTAAAAACTAAAATAACGAGAAATAAAGATGTAAAGTGGACGACACTGAACAACACTACAGGTTAAAATGGAGTAATCACAAAGGAATAAAACAAGTTTCGCGGATATATTAAAAACTAGAATTTTAAGTGTGAGTATAGAGGTTTGTAAATGGAACAAAGCTGATCATTCATTAATTTCAGATTTTTATGCTTGTGTTTATCTATCTCGAGTTGTTCTAAAAGGTCTAATTTTTTACCCTTCTTACAGTTGTGTAGGAGAGACACATTGTTATAATCGATGTCATGATTAAATTCCATTTTATGTTGGTAGACATTTGAAGAAGAAGTATTTTTATGTTCCTTAATTCTTTTTGCGAGTTTTCTACCTGTTTGGCCAATGTATAATGCCTCACAATCGTTACATTTAATAGAATAAACACCATTTTTATTTAACATATGTTCTTTGCTTTTGAAGTTAGACAATATATCTATAAGTTTGTAGTTATTTTTAAAACCAATATTGATATTGTTTTAGAATACTTTTAATTTTATAATTTATTGTCATTATAAGGTAAAGAACGAAATGTGGTGTGTTCATTAGTATCCTTAGTAAATAATGGGTCTAATTTTATTATGACATTATATAGTATTTTATTAATTATATTTGGGGGATAGTTATTTTCTATGGCAAGTTTATTTATGAAATTAAATTCGTTTTGTATAGAAGTTGCATTAATAGAATATCTTAGCATTCTGTAGATGTACGATTGGAATACAGAAAATTTATGATTGTTAGGATGGTAAGAGTCATAAGGTATAATTGTGTTTAAGTTTGTTGATTTCCTATATATGTCATAATTTAGATCTAAGTCATTTCTATTTATAGTTAAGTCAAGAAAGTTAATTTTTCTATCTTTTTCAATTTCTAAAGTGAATTTCAACTTCTCATGAATATTATCTATATAACTTAACATTGCTATAAGTTCATCGTTGGTACCTTCCCATAGACAGAAAACATCATCCACATATCTAATCCATTTTTTTTGATGTTGTTAGAATAAGGATTAAGTTTGTTTATAATATAATTATTCTCTGTATAGTCTAGATATAAGTCGGCGATAAATCCAGATATAGATAGACCCATAGGTAAACCGTTCTCAAGTTTATAAAACTTTTCGTTAAATTTGCAATAATTCTGCTGAATAATAAATTTGACAAGTGATGTGATATCAGAAGCTATATTTGTGTCTTTATAATGTTCCTCAAATAATTTATAAATAATGTCAATAGTAAAATCAGTATCAACATTTGTGTAAAGATTAATTACATCAAATGAGATCATTTGATTCAGTGATTATGGATTTACTAGAACATTCATTATAGTTAACAAGTGGCACCTTTCAGTCGCAACTCATTATGAAACTGATACTAAAACTGACAAGTAAATTTGAATCGTGTGTTCCATAATTTTTGCATCACTGTGTATAGACCCCTAGTATAGACGTTGAAGTAAAAACTGTCAGTTTTAGGAATAATATTTTGACTAAACGTGTAGGGTCCTCTTCAGAGGTGTGTTCCTGATGTACGGTTTGCTCTCAGAGGATCCTCATTTTGAGGTTGACCATAAGAGGGCCAAACAAGATGTGTCTTACCGTTTCATCGTTTTGCTCATATTGTAGGTTTGGTAAATAGGGGAAGCAATTAGGTTCATATTATAATGGTACTTGTCAAAACAACTACTTTGTTGGAAGAATAACTGGGATTATAACACGATTTGTTATACTTTAACATAATCTAACTAAATATGTTATCATAATCTTGGAACATAATTACATATAATGCTTGAGACCTCATCATCATTATTTTTTTCCACCTTTTGACATATTGATGTTTTCCAGAATACCCATTCCTATTACAATGTTGTGTATACCCATCGACTATCTCAAAATCCCTAGCCGTATGCGGAACCATCAATTATGCACGATTATTACCAACAGTTACACATTCAATTTGGATGATTTTCTTGAAGAATAGATTTCTTAATTGATTTTTTTGATGGTAGTTTTTGAAGGTATATTCTTTTGGGGTTGATGTTTGATTGAGGGTCATCGTGGGGTTACTGTAGGGTCACCGTCGGGTCGGATACCGCATGCGCATGCGACAGTGCGCGTCCGCACAGGTGCACCGTCCGGGCGGCGTTCGGTTGGGCCGTATCGCTCTTCGACCGGGCGGCCGGCCGGCCAGTCATGGGGCTCGTCTGGGCGTAGTGAGAGTGCGCGGACATGCACACTGTGGTCTTCGTGCCCGTCTACCTACTGCTCGTCACCCCCATCACAACCTCTTGGTGGTAAGTCTCAACTACCCCTCTTTCTCGCACACTTGCGCAAAAGCTCAAAGACATCTTTCTAATCAAAAACTAATTAACAATGTCACACGTATCTATCGGTGCAAAAACATTCATTTAACAACAGTGAAAACAATTTCTCATCAATATTCTTAACACGTTTGTTACACTATTAAACGTGTTTAAACTTTTAATGCAACGACATTCTTTGATCAATGTTTATGCCACATTAGTTATTCATCTTAATCGAGATCGGTAGTAAACGAGGACAGTTTGTATACACTTTATCTTTTATTTTATCTGTAAATGTGTTTAGATGAAAACCGTTTGATGGAGAATACCTTTTCACTAACATCACCCTACTTGTACTCATTATCTAAGGCGTTTTACAACTCAACAGTATTTACGTTTAGTTTTAAATAATGAGAGTTACTTTACATATCGATGCGAGGAAAGTAAAATTATGCAATCCTTGGACTTATTTCTGACGTTTAAGAGTGCTTCATTGCAATGTATACGTTTTAATTTCCAAGAAGTTCATTTCACCTAACACGATTAACTTTGCTTATATTTAAATTTTAAATAAATCATCTCATTCCTTAAATTTGTAACCCATACAATTGCGTTAAATAATAATTTTAAGACTTATATAGATAGATATTTATGAACAAATGAGGTTCAAAAAAAGCTCAAAACTTAGGTTAAACAGGAAACGTCTAGAATTAGAACCTCGTTTCTGGTTCTAGATATAGTGTTCTTTTAGTTCAATAAATTTTTTTTGTTTAAATGTATCTTAAATGAAGACATTAATGGTACATTAAACGAGGACTGGGTTTAATAAAATGTACTTTACTGCCATTACACGCGCGTCGATTTAACAGCGCCATAAAAGGATCAACAACAATCGAGGTATGTACACCGTCCGTCACAAAACTTGATGAAGATGCGTTGTCAACTGTGTCAATAGTTTTTAAATCTTTTTATAAAACTGTTTTGTTGACCATATAAAGTTCTTATCATTCCCTTCCCTGTAAGATAGCATTAATACTCCAGTAAACTGTAAACTTCGATCGAAAGATCTTTATTTGATTTTGAGGGGTTAGCATTTCAACAATTCGATAAGGAGACAAGAGAGAAAAAAATTAAGGGGGAATTATACCATTCAAATATAGATTATGTTTTATAAAAACGACATTCACTTGATTGTTTATTCTATGCTAATTTGATATCAGTCTGAGTGAAAGGTTGATAAATAAAGTTACAATAACATTTTTATTAAATTATAAATAACCTAATATAATGGTTTATGTTAGTAATAAAGCAATAAGAGTGTATGCAGTGAAACGTACTCGCAATCCATCATTTTACAAAAAAAAGTCTGACTCGACAACGCAGTTTACGTGTTGAATAATTCCAACGATTAAGACTTTCTAAATACTAAACAGCTTGGCAGCTACTTCAGTTCCTTTTTTGATCGTAAAGCAGGATTTTCAGTTATCTGGATAAACTGTCTGGGTACTTTCCAAATGCAACATGGAATTTTAAAAAAGGATTTCGATGAAGTAGAATCGCAATAAAGATGAAGTATAAGTTGATACAAAACTTTATGGATATTGTCTGTTTGCTAATCATTTCGCATTAATTATGAACATGATACTTTAATGTCTTCTAAATACTTGTAATATTGGGTTATCAATATGATTCTCAATTATTGTAGAATGACTCGGAGTTACTCTCAACTCCTATGTTTTGTTGTGAGTAAGTCATGTGTTTTCGAATTGTATTCTAAACTTTTTGTCGTATTGTTATGGAAGTATCTTCTCAGAGTCTCTAGGCTGTCAGAATCTTCTTTGATTCTTCGAACTATTTACATTTTATTGCAAGAGCTCAGTCATCGACGTAGCACCGATTCCTGTAGTAGGCCATTCTTGAATTTTCTTCGTGAGCCATAACTCGGAATGTTCTATCATTATTTAGCAAATCATGCTTTCTCTCCATACAGTGTTATAGGCAGCTGACAGATCAATGAATGCAGCAGAAATTTAGAGATTTTTTTGGCAAAATTGAGCTTCGTTTTCACTTGGTCTGTTAGATCGATATTACATCTAACACTCTCTGACAGATTCTTAGGTTTCCTGATTTCCCTTAGGTCCTATTTTTGATTACTAATATATCCTGACAATAACCCATTAGCGTTTGGTTTTGCATCTTTTTACGTACAGGGTGTCCAAATTTCGATGAGTTTGCAGGGTATCTCAGTTATTATGAAAGATAGAAAGTTGCGGCTTTCGCGAACCTGAGCTACTTTTTTGTGAAACTTACAATGGCGCAAACCAATTTTTCGTAGCCCTCTTCGTTTTTGATATACAGGGAGTGTTTCAAAATTTACGATTTTCAGACACCTCCTGTATCTCGGCTATCCGGAAACGTAAAAACGGGTTCTAATAGATTTTTTCACGTAGAATCCAATGGTGCACGTAGAATTTTTCTAGTCATCACGGTTTTTGAGTTATAAAGAGTTAAGTATTTTAGAAGTTGAGTATTCAGTATTTGAGTTGTGTTTATAACTCAAAAACCGTGATGACTAGAAAAATTCTACGTGCACCATTGGATTCCACGTGAAAAAATCTATTAGAACCCGTTTTTACTTTTTTACTAAGTTTCCGGATAGCCGAGATACAGGAGGTGTCTGAAAATCGTAAATTTCAAACACTCCCTGTATATCAAAAACGAAGAGGGCTATGAAAATTTGGTTTGCGCCATTGTAAGTTTCACAAAAAAGTAGCTCAGGTTCGCGAAAGCCGCAACTTTCTATCTTTCATAATAACTGAGATACCCTGCAAACCCATCGAAATTTGGACACCTGTACATCTTAGGCAGCTCTTACTCATCAAACCCATTTGACTAATGCTATTTAACCGTCATCATCCACACCCAAACCTCGTAGTTTTTAGAAAATGCTAGATAAATTAATAAATTCGATGGCAAATTATGGCATTAAGTAGAGTTAAATCAAGTATAAATATATATCAGTGAAAATTATGCTATTTTAAATTCCGAGATATGGAGTTTTTAAGGTAAGATTGTATGTATGGTAATCCTTGAAAACACTTAAGCAGATCGCACGTCTAGAAACGAGAGAGGACATCGCCTTAAGAATCCAGAAAGAATTCAACTATCTACTATCTAATTTATACGCGTACATAATAAGATTTCTTATCGCGTTGCTCGCTGAAGAATTTATTTCACACGTATCGCGTGTTCTCGTCGATCTTCGCGGGATAAACGCGTCAAAATTTGCATTTATTTCGCAATCTCGCACACGCTGCCGGCTCGGAATTTTTATTAACGTTATCTATTAAAACCGTTTCCACTAATTATATTCTATGTCGGCCGGTACGTCTTCAATTTTCTTAGTAGTATTCGGTACTCGCGCTGAATGCATATTAACATGTTTCTACGCGAAGCGAATTGCAATTCAAGAACTGGTTTTTGGAAGCTTTTTAAATTTAGAGGCGAAATTATTTTCTCGTTTAAGTGCTTTAAATGCTTAGTTTCATTCAGTACATTCCGAGGATGTGGTAATAAAAATTACCGAATGTTTTAATTAAAGGTACGCGTCCGAGAAGTTTTATTAGGTGCCACACATAGTTTTATAAGCAAAACGTCAGATTTCCCGCGCGAGGAATCTCTCGATGGCTCACTATTTTTGCGAAATAGCCACTTAAATATGTTAATAAATGCTCGCGTAAACGGCTCTGTGTACCGTAAAAATCGACTCTCACCGAGTAATTTTAAATTTACGAGGGCTTAATGTATACTAGGCGGGATATCGGCGTGATTCCTATTTCGTGGTATCCTCCTAAGTTTTAACACCAATGTAAATACACAACTACACCAAAGAATCGTTAAATCCACAATCTATTTCTTAGTATGAAATTGTTTTAATTATTTAGAGTGGGTTTATATATTTAAATTAATTTTAAAACAAATAATGTTAAATTAAGCTAATAAAGCTTAACCCATTTTAGATATAATTCACTATTGTAACGGTCGTTGAGGGGCTAACCAAAAACTCACGTCACAGTTTCTTTTTAATGTTATATTAATTTAGGTTCAACGTTGAGTGCGGGAAGTTAGCCCCCCATTTTTTGATTTTTAAAGTTTTTATTGTTGTTCTAGATTGTTCTAGAGTTGTTCTACATTGTTCCAAAGCGGCAAATTGAAAAAATAAAAACTCCACGAGAAAACCGAAAAAACAGGTTTTTTGACTAGCCCCCCATTTTTGGAAAAGTGAAATTTTCTTTGTTGTTCTGGGTTGTTCTAGTTGTTCTAGTTATTGTTCTAGAAAATCAAAATTGTGGGATACAGCATTACGAAGTTATAACTAAAAATAGGTTTGGCCGCTGAAATGTCTGGTTGATTGCTGTGACCATAGCTTTTCTATCAATTCCATATTACAAATATATACCTATTATAGCTAACGCAATCTGGAACAGCTATTATTTTCACTAGAACAACTCTCTAAAGGGCACTTTACTCTTTGAAAATTAAAGTTTTTCGAAGTTTTAATAAGAATTAAAAAACATAGAACAATCAGAAATAACTCAAACTTTGCCGATTCAAATTGTTCTAGATGTGTTTTGCGTTCAACACGAACATTAATTTTGCAAAATCACATATTTTTTGTTGCTCTAAATTGTTCTTGTTGTTCTAGGTACTTAAAATGTTTATTTAATCACTGCGGCTTTAGTTCTTTTAAAGTTTCATATTAAAAATTAGTACTTACAACAATTAAAACAATTCAGAACAGCTGTTATTTTCACTAGAAAAACCTTA